TGTTTTTTAATGCCCTACCAGAACAATCCCATTGCTGTCAGAAGTTTGCGGCTAAAGACCATCACTATGCAGTCATTACTGCAGCAATGCAATCAACAGGGAGGGTGGACTTTGCAAATTGCAGGGCTGTAGTTGTGACATGGCAGGGGGTATGCCAGACCACTGTACAGAAATTCATAGTACTTCTAGAAGTAGAGCGCATAGAACCCAGTGGTCTTTAGCTACATACTGCTGCTAGCTTTGGAGTTTTCTGCTGTTACAGGGGGGAAAAAAAGGCAGTATGAACTTTCCTTTTTCATCCATGTTAGGAGTAAATATGGATTTTAATTGGGCTTTGAAGAAGAACTATGGGGCAACCTTTTTTGTCCATAGTTCTCCTCAGAGAACGGGAGGTCACGGGAGGTGGCGGGAGGTGTGTCACGGGAGGTGTGTCAGGGTCACGGGAGGTGTGTCCTCCCGGAAACCAAAACTCAGTATATAGCGGGCTATTGCGCACTATATGCTGAGAGTACTGCAGCCAGGATGGATCCCAACAATACTGTCGAGATCCACCCAGCTGGCTGATTGACAGCTGGCTCAGCCTCTCAAGAGGCAGAGCCAACTATGCCTGCCCCCTGCCCCATCCGTTCCATCGGTCAGCGCTGGAGAAACAGAGAGCAGAGAGGGGGAATGAATACCTGCGGGAAGCGGTGACTGACAGGGAGAGGACCGGCAAGTCAGCGACGGCATTGTGTTTTCGCTGACTATCTGATCAATAGAACCCACCTGTGACAGCTTCTTTGTCACAGGTCGGCTTGAATTATGGGAATTAGTGTTTTTCAGTCACCCCATAATTCTCCTGGTTAGTTAGTCTGTAGGCCATACTTTTTCATATTTTGGATAAACCAGGGAAGGGTTGAAACTGCCACTGTGTTCTGGTTAGGGACATTTCTCCTCACTTCTTGTTTCATTTACAGATGGTCACAGGGACAAAGAGGGGAAATCTCTTCAAAGGGCACATAACAATGGAGCGGGTAAAAACACACTGGAGGGAATTTATCAAAAGTGGACAGAAACTGGAGCAGTTGCCCATGGCAACCAATCAGCATCTCTCTTCAGTCTGCTCAGTTGGGATTTGAAAATGAGAGATAGAAGCTGATTGGTTCCCATACAAATCTGCTCCAGTAAATTCCCCCCACTGAATCTCTTTTAAGTTGTTATTGCTGCTGGTGTCTTTCTGTCCGGCTGACAACTGTTTTCCTAATTTCTTGTCCTGGTGTCAAAAGGACAGACACTGTAGAAAAATGTGGCCAGTGGAGAAACACAGAGGCTCTAACGCTCAGCTAAGCTATCAAAAACAAAATTTGCATTGATGCATAGATCAAAGCGCTGCGCAAACTGTACTGCTAGCTTTGGAGTTTTCTGCTGTTACAGGGGGGAAAAAAAGGCAGTATGAACTTTCCTTTTTCATCCATGTTAGGAGTAAATATGGATTTTAATTGGGCTTTGAAGAAGAACTATGGGGCAACCTTTTTTGTCCATAGTTCTCCTCAGAGAACGGGAGGTCACGGGAGGTGGCGGGAGGTGTGTCACGGGAGGTGTGTCAGGGTCACGGGAGGTGTGTCCTCCCGGAAACCAAAACTCAGTATATAGCGGGCTATTGCGCACTATATGCTGAGAGTACTGCAGCCAGGATGGATCCCAACAATACTGTCGAGATCCACCCAGCTGGCTGATTGACAGCTGGCTCAGCCTCTCAAGAGGCAGAGCCAACTATGCCTGCCCCCTGCCCCATCCGTTCCATCGGTCAGCGCTGGAGAAACAGAGAGCAGAGAGGGGGAATGAATACCTGCGGGAAGCGGTGACTGACAGGGAGAGGACCGGCAAGTCAGCGACGGCATTGTGTTTTCGCTGACTATCTGATCAATAGAACCCACCTGTGACAGCTTCTTTGTCACAGGTCGGCTTGAATTATGGGAATTAGTGTTTTTCAGTCACCCCATAATTCTCCTGGTTAGTTAGTCTGTAGGCCATACTTTTTCATATTTTGGATAAACCAGGGAAGGGTTGAAACTGCCACTGTGTTCTGGTTAGGGACATTTCTCCTCACTTCTTGTTTCATTTACAGATGGTCACAGGGACAAAGAGGGGAAATCTCTTCAAAGGGCACATAACAATGGAGCGGGTAAAAACACACTGGAGGGAATTTATCAAAAGTGGACAGAAACTGGAGCAGTTGCCCATGGCAACCAATCAGCATCTCTCTTCAGTCTGCTCAGTTGGGATTTGAAAATGAGAGATAGAAGCTGATTGGTTCCCATACAAATCTGCTCCAGTAAATTCCCCCCACTGAATCTCTTTTAAGTTGTTATTGCTGCTGGTGTCTTTCTGTCCGGCTGACAACTGTTTTCCTAATTTCTTGTCCTGGTGTCAAAAGGACAGACACTGTAGAAAAATGTGGCCAGTGGAGAAACACAGAGGCTCTAACGCTCAGCTAAGCTATCAAAAACAAAATTTGCATTGATGCATAGATCAAAGCGCTGCGCAAACTGTTGGCGCTATATAAATTCTGTATAATAATAATATATAGATGGGCACATCAAAAGAGAACATGTCATTTATAATGCCATTTCAGTCATGGAAATAGTGTTTTTTAAGGCATATAACGCTAATATGCACTAATATCACTAATCTATATTACACATTGTACAAGCCCAGGTAAAAGCACAAGTTAGCATTTATGTGACCATGATGAGGTAATATCACTACAGTTGCACATTTACATACCCCTGGCAGAATTTTTAAAATATCAGACATTTTTGGCTGCACCAATACCTTTAAAAAGTGCCTAGAGAAGCCTCAAAATTTCTGCAATAAAATTATTTAAAATGATGACACTTAAATTTTACTTTATGGTCATAACCATAAACACTATGGGGTGTATTTATAAAAAAATTGATTAGCCATTCGCCCTGAAAAGCTCCATGTATATTTGTTCTGTGCCAATGGAGGAAAAAATGAAAGTTAATAGTATTTATTTCCAATATTATTAGGAAAACACCTCATTATGGCCACTAGATAGAGCTGAGGAGCACAGGAAATAAATATTTATTTTCTTTACTTCTCAGCTACATCTAGCAGCCAATTTGCGGTATCTTCCTGTTACTACATTCAACCTGGAAAGAGATAGAAAGGAATATTAATATTAATATTGTTAGTATTTGCCTCCATTCACACCGAAAAAAATATACTCAAAATGTTTGGAGAGGAGTTAGCAAGGCCCATAAAGAGAAGCACACCATCACTACCATCAAGGATGGGGATGGTTCATTGCGGGTTTTACAGCAGCACAGGGATTTTGCAAAATTCATGACAAGAAGAATGCAGCATTTTATTGTAGCGTCACACTTTTTTCGGTCAGTGATACCCAATACAGGATAACACTATCTCTGGCTCTAAAGGGAGGTCTACAGTAATAGAACTAACGGTTCTCCCTGTGTTTCACTGACCCAGATTGGATTTCAGAAATGGAGAGAACAAAAGGATTCACAGGACCTGGAGGCTTTTTGCCAAGAAAAATTGGGCAGCTTCGCCACATGACAAAATAAAGTGCTTCATTCAAAACTACCACAGAAGACTACAAGCCGTCACTGATGCTGAAGTTGGCAATACACAATATTAAAAAGTAAAAGGATTTCAAACTTTTAAACAGGACCATCTTACAAATTCTGCCAGGGGTATGTAAATGCGACATAAATAAATAAATAGAGCTTTACTGCTGTTAGTGTCATTCTTGCTCCATTTTTTGGCATACAAATGATATTAGAAATAAATCTGGCAGGTCCATTTGAGAAATGTTTTATGATGTTGACACATATTCTATTTTCCATCATGACTTGTTCTTACTCGAGTGGGGAAGGGATACAACCACTTTTAAAGTGTATCTAAACCCAAAAAACAAAAATGTAATATATCACGGCTTAGCACTTGTAAGATGTAGTGGAATTAGTTATATTTGAAGCTTTTTTCTTTTTTCGCCTGGTGATACTGCCTGGAAAATTCTTACTTTCCTAGGCTGACAACGCTCACTCACTGTACTTTATCTATGGAGGAACAGTGGTGTCACCCTAGGACAAGTCTAAGATAAGAGGGAGAGGGTTTTTTTTTAGTTCACAGAGGGTAGCTGTGTAAGCTGATAAGATTGTTTGAAATTTCAGTTCAGGATACTGGATTTCTGACAGGGTCATCTGATACTTTTTATACTTGCAAAAAAAAGGTAGTTAGTCTGAAGAAAGACAATTTATGCATTCACCACATCCAAGGACAGGTAAACTAATATATTACATTTCTGTTCTTGAGTTTAGTGCTACTTCAGCTGCTGTCTATGCCCCATGGAGAAAGAACTCTAATTTCTTGTGCAAAAAACAAACGTTTTGTGACCACGTCCTGAGTATCTGGTGCCACACCCCTGTGTCTTTTGGTGTCTAAAAAGCCCTACTGTTTCTTCAATCTTTTTTGTGTGGACACTTATATAGGATATGGTAAAGGTGTGTGCTGGCTGGCTTGCCATTTGAACTATCCATTTGTTTTCTTATCTTTTAAGATTTGATGTTAATTCTCTGAACTTGCATGTCCAACTCTACCCACCTTCCATTGCAATTGCAGGTGTTACTAATTTATGAATGTACTTAACATTTTTTTCTCTAGAGTTAAAATGTGTGTTGATTGCAGTGTCTGGTAAATAGAAAGCACTGTACTTTACCACTGTTTTAAATGGTACTTGGGCATTACAAGGTTAAGTAGTAATGGTCTGACTCTTTTTGGTGTAATCTCAAATAGTGGAAGCACAGCCAGTAGTGTGAAATGGGTTTGTCTTTTGCTAAAATTATGGAATTAAAATATGTCCTTCTTTGTACCAATAAAGATAGGTACAATAGAAGCTTCTTGAAATCCATGCCCATGGCAGATGTAAACTCATTAAACATTAGGCACATGAATATACATTAAACATCTTTGAGTACCTCTCCCCAGGCTGCAGGTGGAGGCTCCACTGGTGGGTAGTACTTTGGTATATCCCATGCTACTTCAGTCATGAACCATTTGAAGTCTTTGCACTTGAGGTGTTTGCGCAGCTCTTTTTGGGAAGAGAGATCTCCAGTAGAGAGATGTCGGTATTCAGGTCTTCTCTGATAAATGTACTCGGCAAACTCATCCATCCACGTCTCTGCCACACGTTTTAGATTCTAACATAGAAGAACAGTAAGTCTGTTACTGGCACAGTCTTTTTCAAATATTTCATGCAGCATTGTACATCAACTAATTATGACCTTTGTGTGATACAGTCAGATTAATGGCTCAATTAGTTTATTAAACGAAAAAGTACTGAAATGTAACTGCACTGCTGGGATTAATGAGACTCAAATTAATCAAGAGCAGGCATAGGCATTAATCAGATTGCTTTTCTCTTAACCTTTTATTGTTCTAGGCAACAGGGATACTTTAATAAGATAAGTTTAAGTATTGAAGGTTACGTTAATGTTTCAGATTACTTCCACTTTACCTTCTGGAACTAATTTTGAAACTCTAGCAATTAACAAACTGGGCATAATTAGAAATAAACTCGAAATTAAAAACATTTTTTTTAGTTTACTAGCTGTAAATAAATATGTATTAGAATTACAGAATTATTCAACAAAGAATCAGAGTATGTTGAAGATTTAAAATGCATTTTTAAAGTTTTAAAATGTTTTCATTAGTCAGGTAAATACAAAATATTTCATACAAATATTCTACCCTGCAGTTTGGGCTCTAGGTTCCTTTTACATATATCGCCAGGCTAACCATAGCTGCTTTACCTAAAACTGTCTGATGTTTACAAAGCTTAAAGGAGAACTATGAGGTGAGTGCTTTTCACTCATCCTCATAGTTCTAGCCGACCTGTGACAATGAAACGGTCACAGGTCGGCTCAGTAGATCGGGAAGTGAGCGAACACATACAGGCGTTCGCTCACTTCTTGATCCTGTCACGACTCTCTGCCGTGACAGGGAAGGGACTGGATTCCCGCCTTCCCCTGTCCGGTCCTCCAGCGCTGACTGGCGGAATGGACGGGGGAGGGGGCGGGTACAGCTGGCTCTGCCTCTAGACAGGCAGAGCCAGCTGTCACTCACGCAGCTGGGCGGATCCAGACATAATTGTCGGGATCCACTTCAGCTGCGGCGTCTCAGTATTCTGCGAGCTGTAGCTCACGGTATACTGTGGCGTCTCAGTATACTGCGAGCTGTAGCTAGCGTTATACTGAGCTTAGGGTGATGGGAGGACGCTAGTTGTGTGCTCCCGTTACCCTAAGGAGAACTATGGGGAAAAGCCCTAACCCCATAGTTCTCCTTTAATATAACACACTCTGCTGACTGGACCATATGGGAATTTAATTAGAGAGGGACAGGCAAAAGGAAAACTTTTCCACTGTGATCTTGCTTTTGAAAACCCATAATTTTATTTTAGAACTGAAGAAGTGGTTTGGAGAAGTATGAAACCTTGTCAACATTAGAGAACAAGTCCAGTTGAATGTGACTAATTACTACTAACTATAATGGCTACAAGTTATACCAGGATGAATTAGAGCCTTCACAGACATAAAACCATTATAGTTCCCCTTTAGGAATATATTTTAACCCAGATGACACTAGATTTGTCCTGGTTTAGATCATACAAATGTAAAGCAGAGCAGATTTTTCCAAACCTCACAGCTACATCACTTTACATCTTCATAGACAAATCGGTTCCCTTTAGCTACATTTCAACTGCATTAAGTTTAACACATTAAAATCATTCTGCATTAAATCAGGCAGTAAAATATTGTGAAAGTATAAAAAACAGCGTTGTGCCATCATGACAATGACAAATTCACAAATGTTGTTGTCTTTAAAAATACCTTTATGGTGTTCTGCTTCATAAAGCAAATTTACTAAAGTATCCTAACAATAAGACTACTAAAACTATCATACGAAGAATTCTTTACACCCACAGCAATTAATCTCAAGCAGTACACCATATTTTAATTTTACTGACACGTCTGCATGGAAAAAAAATCACATCTTAGCTTGCAGCATTATAAGAATGTCATGATACACTTTATAGCTTCGGCTCCTGTAATTTGATTAATAGCACACATTTCTTTTAACCTGTTAACAAGGCTGTTTATGTTCTCCACAAAGCTGTCTGTATTTATGGCACAATGCTCTGGAGTTATCAGCTTTCCCTGCTTTTGCTTTCAGGTATAGATTGGCTGCTTTTAAGTCATTTTCAGCAAGTAAAGGTTTTCCTGCCCATCAATAATGTCCCTCTCTAAGGAGTAGCCATATAAGTAAGAAATATAAGAACAGAAAGCCTAGCAGATTTTCTTAAAGTGGACCTTTATCCCCTTTCACTAAAAATCACATACAAATACAGCTCTGCATGCTGATTTAAGATCATCTTACATTTATTAGTTAAACAAACTTGTTTTTCATTTACTTACAAATAGAGTTCATCTACTTCCTGGTCCAGTTCTGGCACAAATGATGTAATGTGCCAAAGTGTTGCATCCTGGGAAGATTGCATCAGCAGAGCATTACAGGGAAATCTCAGAGAGATCTCAGGGAAAGGCATTTTCCTCCTCTAAAATGATGTGCATGGTCACATGTCCTAGTCACATGTGCCAGAGTTTCAGGAAGTAAAGGGAGAGCAATTAACCTGCCCTTAGTTAACATGGCCACTGTGAGAAGACTGGGGAGGTAAAGAGTAGTGATGGGCCAAACAGACTGGAGTTCAGTTCAAATTTGAACCTTAGAACATGGAAAAAGTTTGAATTCGTACTCGAACATAATGCAAGTCTATGGGGCCAGAACTTGGAAAATCAATTGTCCCCTTTTTGAACAGTTATATGCAAGTTATTAGCCATAAAAAGGGTGTGGGGATTTGGGTACTGCCTTGGGGGACATGCATCAATGAAAAAAGGAGCAGAGATTTTAACATTGCATAAACATTGCTCTTTCGCCAATATACCCCCCCAGATATGCTCCCATATACTTTTATGGGACACCATAGTGGCATGGAGAGAAACACACAAATATCTTAAATTAAATCCGCGCATAACCCGACACCTGCCCATTAGGGGAAATCTCTCCTTCTCTCAGGGTGAGGAACATGCTACATTCCTGCATTGGGAACAAAGGGGTATCTCCCTATTCTCACATTTTCTCACAGTAGACAAAAGAAGGCTATTATCGTTCTCAGAGTTGACCGACAAATACGGAACCCCGACCACAGATTTCTTGCATTACATGCAGGCCACCTCTCATGTCAGGCAACTGAGCCCCTTAAATATCACCTGTCTACTAACGTCCCTCACCGATAGGATTGCTCCAAATACCAGGACATCTATCTCAGACATATACCCTCACTTGAGGCAAGTCTCCATCCCTTCCTTGGTCTCGTCTAACTTGTCTAGGTGGAGTGAGGATATCCCCTCGGAGGATATAGTTGGCAAGATTCTTGAGGGATAGCGCTCACTATGTAAAGCTGTGGGGGAATGAGAAATGGAGAGAAACTCAGTTCAAAATTATCCACAGAGCATATATAGCCTTCCAGAGAACGTTCTCTCAGGACCGGGATTCTACCTTGACGAACCATTGCCCCAAATGTCAACTGGCGGCTGCACCCCTATTCCATTGCTTGTGGGCATGCCCACATATCCAAAGATACTGGACCCAGGTCCTTCACCTGGTGTCCTCTGTAACTGGTCAGACAATTCCGCTAGATCCCTTGTTACTGCTGTTCAACTACTGGGACGGGCAGACCACATCCTCTATTACACTGAATAAACATAGCAAGCAGTGGGTCGGTACGGTGCTCTTGGCGGCCAAGAGGTGCATCATGAGAGAATGGCTCTCCCCAACCCCACCAACTGTTCTTAGGCTGAGGGAGGACTTAATACAGCTACTTCACCTAGATAAACTAGACGCAGAAATGCATCTGGAGGAAAATAATAAAATTAAGTCCTTTTTCAGAAGATGACTTCCTTTCATCGAATTTGTCTTTCCGCCACACACACAGACTAGCATCTTATCCCCCTTCCAATTCACTAAATACTGTATGGTACAACGCCTACATACTTCTTGCCAAACAGCAGGGAGCTAGCTGGCTCTATATCACCCTTCTACATACTCACTACTGCAGCTCCGGCTGGTACGGCAGTCCCTGCACTACCTTATGTGGGGAAGGAAGCGAACCGCCCTAGGGCAAAGGGGCCCGTAGTTAAACAACTAGAACCTGAACTAGACAGAGGCAAGCGCCCTGGAAGGGCATAGGGACACTTAACACATAGACGTAGGATCCAGACATGTATGGAATTTGGTTGATCTATAGTTATTTTGTAAGTTTATTTGTATGTTATTTTCTTTTACTTTTGTTCACTTATACGATTATTGTTATATTGGAGCTGTAGCTGACCTCTCGGTCCGATATGGGGAAATATTCCTTATCCTACTGCATTTACAAGTAAATGGGCTACTGTCTCCGACTTTTCTACTAACTAAATGTAGCACAGTATACTAATGCACTTAATGTAAGAATGTCTGTATGTTAACCATATATTGTCTGGCATTGTGCTATGTGCGTTTACGGACCATTGTATCTGACTACAGCAAACTAATAAAAAATGTTATTCAAAAAAAAAAACATTACATAAAGTGAAACAATTAAAATGAAAAAAAAAAATCCTTTAAATATCGTGCTTGGGGGGTCCCCTTAAACTGCCTGTAAAGTGGCACATCTGTACGATGTATAGAACCTGCTGCAGCGAAAATGACATTTTATAAAGAAAAAAATTACATTTATAAAGAAAATGTCCCCCCTCCCAAACAATACCAGACCGTTTAGGTCTGGTAGGAATTTTAGGAGGGACCCCAAGTAACACTTAAAAAAAAAGTGTGTGGGGTTCACCCTCAAAGTCATACCAGGCCCTTATGGTCTGGTAGGAATTTTAAGGAGGAACCCCACCCCCAAAAATGGGGAAAATGGATCATGTATTTACTGATCTGTGTGGACTTTTTCTTCACTGTGAATGTGGTCTTGTTTTCTGTGCTTTGGTTTGAATCAAATATTCTTGTTTATTTCTTGTGTGTAGAGTATACAGTATCTTCATGTTCACCTTCTGTCTTTTGCTTTATCTTGTTGTATTTGTTTGGTCCGTGAAGGGTATTT